TCACCTCAAGTGCCTTGTCGGTCAGGGGTGAACGTTCTACATGTGAGCAATCAATGATGTTTATCCAGCCGGTTTGTTTATATACGGGTCAGCGAAGCAGGGAATCCCAGGAAGAATCACCTGTCTCCTTAACAAGAAGTATGTATCATTTGCTACAAGGGTAGTTTGTCAATATGTTGTTTATACTGTGATTTAAACCGTAGATGAGCAAATACGTGGAAAGAATTACTATTTCTTATTTGGCAATGTTGTAAACAGGTTGGCCTAGTTGTCGTGTTGACCTGTCTGTGCCCTTTCAAATATTGCTACCATTTGAAACGTACTCTGCTTGGGGGTACCATTACGCACACTTTTCTAACTCTGCATACCTATCCTAAAGCAAATGAATCATATTATTTCGCAGTTGTACTGGTCAAGCAACTGTTTTTCGTCCTTTTTGCCAATTCACGTCAATTTTCAGGTTATATAAGGGACACCAAAACGCTGTAAACATGCCGGAGCACGAGTACCAAGGCATTAGGTTTCCTGGTGAAATTTCTAAGGAAACTTTGGATGTCATTCCTGACTACCCTGTCCGAGACGACGACATTTTCATCGTGACCTACCCAAAAACAGGTGAGCTGTATCTTTCTTTGTGAATCTTTCTCTAGAACTTGTAATTTGTCGCATTTGAGCGGTCACCTTTGATCAGGGTCAACCCAATCTGCACTGTCAGCAGCTACATAATCACGAGGAGTGTTCAACAACACTTTGCAACCTTCTGGAAGCAAGAAAAATCAAATGTCGCGGGATAATCATAAAACATAAAAAAAGCTCTTACCAATTTCCGACAAAACAAACAAATATGTTTGCATCGAAGTTGGAAAAAGTAGATTTAGAACCTATGTTAGAAGTCCTATCAATGTTAGTATATGTTTAAAGTTAAAACTTTTGATCCAACAAAAAGAAATCTCTCACCTAGAGCTTTCGACCAGTCACTCTGGTCTTCCTCAGTAGACTGACAGAGTTACTGGTCGAAAGCTCTAGGTTAGAGATTTCTTTGAGTTGGATCAAAAGTTTTAACTTTAAACATGTAACTACCCACACAGATGAACTTTCATGATAATGTTAGTTTATGCATTTTGCTGCTACTTGTTGTAGTTTGACAGGGCATGAATGTGCCCCTGAATGTGTTAGCTAGGTTAGCGTGAATGTTTTGTTCTATCAGGTACGAACTGGATGATGGAAATAGTGAGCAAGGTCATGAAAGCTGCCGGAAAGATGGCTACTCCTGAAGAACACTCCATGTGGTGTTTCGAACTGCAGATGCCAGGGCTTGACGAAAAACCACGTCACGAACTTATAAAGGACGCGCCATCTCCACGTATAATCCACACACACCTACAACGGCAGCTGGCCCCCAAAATGGTCGCCAATCCAACAGGAAAGGTATCGTTTTGTCACTACCTTTGTCTAACCTTGAAATGCACTCTTCTCCCAAGGAAACCCCTTGCTTCTACCCAAGTCCACTCATCAAGATTTACTAAGAGGGGAAGATTATATAAAAATGAAGATGACTGATAATGAAATGTGAAGGTCTCTGACATATCCAGAAGTGTTTTGCCTGCCTCAGAAAATTCAAATCTGATCTTCTTACCCACAATGCATCTTGCCGCGCATGCGCACTTGGGCTTTGAAACTTTGAACCATGGATCTGGCGTTTGTCCGCCGATTTAATAGGTCTTACACTGTTTTGCTTCTTTCACCGATACATTTGTATGAAAATTATGCAAAATACATATTATAAGATTTAAAAAATATTTTGGAAAATGTCTTTACTTGGAGTCTTATTCCCTTTGTTTCCAGATAAAAGTGATAGTAGTGATGAGGAATCCAAAAGACACGGCTGTGTCTTTTTACCACTACGAGAAGAAAATGTTCAAGGAGTACAGCCGCCCCGGCGATGTTGTCCCTAAACGTTACGAATCTTGGGAAGCCTATGCAGACAACTTCCTTAAAGGAAAAGGTACGTCAACGCAACAAACAATGTGGTTTCAATCTATACAACAACAATCTCGTGACCAAGTGTCAAGTTAAAATATTGACGATCAGTGTCCAAATTACGTTATGGAGGCTGGTGCAGTAATGGCACTTACGAACGGGATGTGAGCTTGCATGGCTCCGTTTGCCTGGCTGTGCGCACCGGTAATTTGGTGATGTCTTACACGAAACGTGCCATTCTCTCGAATTATGCCCTCTACAAAACTAAACAATCACATACACCCACAAACACATACCGACCGGAAAACAAATCCATCTTGGCAAAGATAAAGAAATTCGTCAAAATACTTTACGTATATGATATCATATATTAATGAATGGTAACGAAGCAGCTAAATGGTAGTCATAACTATCTAATATTCTAAAATAAAACAAAATAATAATTATTTTTTCTCCGACTTGAAGTCATTTTTGGTGACTTCTACAACCATGTCCTCGGCTGGTGGCAGATGAAGGATGACCACCATTTTCTCTTCCTGAAGTATGAAGACATGAAGAAGGTAAAATATCTTCTACACTTACATGTTCATTTTCCAATTCACCATGGTTATGTACATATACTTTGTAACCCCTGCTTCGGGTACTGGGTCATTTATTCAAACTTGCCTTAGCTTGATTTTTCTGACTTATGCCAAGGTCACATTTCCAAACCTGGGCCCGGCCGGCTGTTTTAACAATCCATATCATGAATATACAGAAACTGTGCCCATGATTATCATCAAAAACCTTTCTGTGCTTTGTTGTCTTTAGTATCGTACTTTTCGTTCCCCAAAGCTGCCCGGCCGGGCCCCGTGTGGGAATTGTGACCTCAGCATTACGGGAAGAAGAGATGCTTCTTCATTGAGCATTAGTTTATGCCAATGTGGTGTTGTACTAAACATACTCTTTAAAAAATACAGCTTTTAAGTTGAAATGACTGACAATTGAGTGATTCTGTTTGTTGTTCTCATAGGACCTGCGCAGTGTGGTCAGCGAGGTCGCATCCTTCCTGGAGACCAGCCTAGACGCCGCTGCCGTCACCAACATTGCCGACTCGTGCACTTTTAACAATTTAAAGGCAGTCTGGAGCAATTCAGGATCAGTTATGAAAGAAAACATCTGCAGAAAAGGTAAGTTGCCTGATTATCAAATTATAATTAGAAATTTAAAAAAAACTACACATTATATCGCCGTATTCGATAGCTGTAAGATGGTGTAGACTTGTACTTGCACATGCACATGGTGTTGTGTAGAATTGTACTTGCACATGCACATGGAATAGATGGTGTAGACTTGTACTTGCACATGTTTTGATCATGCGGCACTGTGTGTAATAACAGTTGTCATTTTGGGGTCCCAACAAGACCTACCCACATAAGACAAATTATTTAAGCCTTGTTTTAGAATAATCGTGTTAACAAACAAACAAACACAAACAAACAACAAACCACAAGAACACTATATACTATCGATAATAATGGGATGTTGCATTGGTTTTCTTTCCTTGCAGGTGTCATTGGCGATTGGAAGAGCATGTTCACACCGGAGAAAAATGAAGCCTATGATGACAAGCACAAGCTCAGGCTGGCTGGGACTGGTCTGGAGTTTGATTTTGAGTAGTACCACGCATATGTGCGTGTAGTAAACGTCAGGGTAGAGATCGCGGCCAGGCAAAGTCACTGATTCTGTGACTTTATTAAGGGTGATTTTATTATTTTTCTGACACTCATAGATGTTAAGAATTGCTGTATACTACTATACATCTTGACATACGTAAACCTACAAAAATATTTGGGTGCACTAGTGCACCCTCAGGAAAAAAAAATTGGTTGCACAGCTTCAAATTTAGGTGCACTAAGGTGCACATGCACCCAGTATTTCGAGCCTTGGGTTGTAATATTGCTTAATATTGCTTAAGATTGATTATTATCTGTTTCCTTTTAACAGGATGAACGCACACATTGCTTTTCAGGCATGACCTGTACATAAGAAGAAAAATTTTGTTTTGGAGTTTTGTATTGGAATTTAGTGAATTGAACTACCAGTGCTGCACTACATAGAGTGGAACATGTCCACTTACTAGAGAAATTACTGTTTTTGTTATCATTTTGTGAAATATAAGTTCTTACAACCACACTACATAGAAAAAAAGAATTTCAACGAAGTCATATTCATGTAATTCAAATCCCACATGCAAGATGCTCAAAAGCCATTGAGAAGTCAGAGGCAGAGCATACATGTATAAACAACAACGGAGAAGACAACACTTCCAAAAAAGACAGACGTTATTTTTGTATGTATAAAACTTTTCTAAAAAATTATCTCATTGCTTGAATTATTATGTTTACCTTTACAGAATGAAAACATTGTTTTTCCTCAGTTTCTTCTTCTTCTTCTTCCGTTCCAAACAAACAAGGTCAGTAAAATACAGGGTGATCCAGATCAATCCATGCAAATTTTATTCATGTGTGCAAATTTATGCGATTTTTTAAAATTTCATAATTTTAATGACTGCGTTAATTTATTCATAACTATGAATACTTATGTGTAATTATGAATTAATTTATGTATGTTTTAATATGATATATTATGAGGGTGTCATGGCATAATTGGAGGAGGTCAGATAGAGTTCAGTGTGCACTTTTGAACCCGGCTACCTGGGTGACCTGTCACCTAGTGTATCGATGCTTTATGTCTGTTTTCATGTTCATAATTATTATTATTATCGAGGTATATTATTGGTAATCATGGTTTATACGTATTTATGTAGGTTTGATTACGCCATCAGAGGAGGTCTTTAGGTCAGGCAAAGTTAAGCGTGTTCTTCTTCAACTCAGATTACCAGGGTAACGTATTGTCAATCAATATTTTATGAACGCGTATGACAGAGACAAATACAAAAGCATGTCAGAAAGCTTATATTTATATGGTGATATACCGAACCCTATACCTTGCTATGAAAATGAACACGCACACACACCACATAGAATTTGAATAGTCTTTTTCTATTTTTTTACTGATGCAGTTGTATGAATGAATGAATGATCTTTATTGCTAGACAGTTGTACATGGTACAATGTATGGCAAGGATGACAATGTAGCCTTGACAATCATACTAGTCAATTCCTGGAAACTAAAACTACATAATTACAACGTAAGTGGCGTATTGACATGATGTACATTATATCAAACATTTCTGTCTGTCACAATCCTTTCTCTCTTTTCTAAAGCGTTACATACGTATTGGCCTAGGTACATAGAAACCATGAAAAATCAAGCACTTTATTAAAACACATTTAAGTTTATTTCAAACCTCAAATCTTTTCCCCACGGCAAAGCTGGATTGTCAGGTTTCTTTAGATACAAATATTCAAAGGCACTACTTGTAATGAGCTACAGCCAAGATATTGAAATGACACCACGATTTCATCCCCTGTCCCAGTGGGTTGGTCCAACCTGTGAAGAAATTCACATTTTGGGTGTATATTTCAAGACATACATTCTTCTGTTCCTCTTACCGGAAAACTGGGCCTATCTGAACAAATTTGCCCAGGGAAAAATTTTCAGGAAAAAAATTCCCAAATATGAATCATGCAAATGTCGATTAGATGTTCCTTCTAGCCTCTACCGGTCTTCTGGAGGCGGCTGGAAGGAGTAGAAATCGGCCAAATAGAGAGATAACATGCCAGGGGAGTTTGTCTGCTGGGAGAGAACATTTTGCGGCAAAATGTCCTCTCCCAGCAGACAAACTCCCCCGGCATGTTATATCTCTATTTGGCCGATTTCTACTCTTTCCCGCCGCCTCCCGAAGCCTGGTAGAGGCTGGTTCTTTCCCTGATGAGATCGGGATCTCTACCGGTGTTGAGCAAAATCCTTGAGCTGCCAAATACGTGAGAGGTAAGGTGTTAGGGCTAGAATTAAGGCTAGGTTTAATATCTGCTCCCACATTTTTCACTGTACAAAAAAGCGAGAAGAAGTTGACCTGTCTGTATTAGCTCAGTGACTAGAACATTATGTATTAGCCTAGTATAGTACCCTTGTATGTTCCTTATGTATGTATGTCTAAGTCAAGTAGTGCATCTTTTGTCTCCAATTTTCTATATACGTTTGTTATGTGTCTGTCATACTCAGTATCTTGACCTGTACCTAGCCCGTCGTGGCATGAATGTACAATAAAGGTATCTCAATTTCAATTTCAATTTCAATATTAGAGTTAGAGTTAGGGTTATAATTGGGATCATTGCTAGGGTTAGACTTAAGATTGGGGATAGGTTGGGTTTAGTCTACCACATCACAACTAAACCCCCTCAAACCCCTTGTCTCATATTAGAAACCCCTGATTTGGGAGTCATGTATTTGGCAGAGTGATGTATATGGCTTGGTACAGGCAGAATCAGTGACTTTGCCTGGCCGCGATCTCTACCCTGACGTTTACTACACGCACATATGCGTGGTACTACTCAAAATCAAACTCCAGACCAGTCCCAGCCAGCCTGAGCTTGTGCTTGTCATCATAGGCTTCATTTTTCTCCGGTGTGAACATGCTCTTCCAATCGCCAATGACACCTGCAAGGAAAGAAAACCAATGCAACATCCCATTATTATCGATAGTATGTAGTGTTCTTGTGGTTTGTTGTTTGTTTGTGTTTGTTTGTTTGTTTGTTAACACGATTATTCTAAAACAAGGCTTAAATAATTTGTCTTATGTGGGTAGGTCTTGTTGGGACCCCAAAATGACAACTGTTATTACACACAGTGCTACATAATCAAAACATGTGCAAGTACAAGTCTACACCATCGATACCATGTGCATGTGCGAGTACAAGTCTACACAACACCATGTGCATGTGCAAGTACAAGTCTACTCCATCTTACAGCTATCGAATACGGCGATATAATGTGTAGTTTTTTTTAAATTTCTAATTATAATTTGATAATCAGGCAACTTACCTTTTCTGCAGATGTTTTCTTTCATAACTGATCCTGAATTGCTCCAGGCTGCCTTTAGAGTGTTAAATGTGCATGAATCGGCAATGTTGGTGACGGCAGCGTCGTCTAGGCTGGTCTCCAGGAAGGATGCGACTTCGCTGACCACACTGCGCAGGTCCTATGAGAACAACAAACACAATCACTCAATTGTCAGTCATTTCAACTTAAAAGCTGTATTTTTTAAAGAGTATGTTTAGTACAACACCACATTGGCATAAACTAATGCTCAATGAAGAAGCATCTCTTCTTCCCGTAATGCTGAGGTCACAATTCCCACACGGGGCCCGGCCGGGCAGCTTTGGGGAACGAAAATTACGATATAAAAGACAACAAAGCACAGAAAGGTTTTTGATGATAATCATACACACAATTTCTGTATATTCATGATATGGATTGTTAAAACAGTCGGCCGGGCCCCGGTTTGGAAAATGTGACCTTGGCATAAGTCAGAAAAATCAAGCTAAGGCAAGTTTGAATAACTGACCCAGTACCCGAAGCAGGGGTTACAAAGTATATGTACATAACCATGGTGAATTGGAAAATGAACATGTAAGTGTAGAAGATATTTTACCTTCTTCATGTCTTCATACTTCAGGAAGAGAAAATGGCGGTCATCCTTCATCTGCCACCAGCCGAGGACGTGGTCGTAGAAGTCACCAAAAATGACTTCAAGTCGGAGAAAAAATAATTATTATTTTGTTTTATTTTGGAATATTAGATAGTAATGACTACCATTTAGCTGATTCGTTACCATTCATTAATATATGATATCATATACGTAAAGTATTTTGACGAATGTCTTTATCTTTGCCAAGATGGATCTGTTTTCATGTCGGCATGTGTTTGTGGGTTCATGGGATTGTTTAGATTTGTAGAGGGGATAATTCGAGAGAATGGCACGTTTCGTGTAAGACATCACCAAATTACCGGTGCGCACAGCCAGGCACGCGGAGCCATGCAAGCTCACATCCCGACCGTAAGTGCCATCCCCCCCCCCACCGGCATTAATGCACCAGCCTACATAACGTAATTTGGACACTGATCGTCAATATTTTAACTTGACACTTGGTCATGAGATTCTTGTTGTATAGATTGAAACCACATTGCTTGTTGCGTTGACGTACCTTTTCCTTTAAGGAAGTTGTCTGCATAGGCTTCCCAAGATTCGTAACGTTTAGGGACAACATCGCCGGGGCGGCTGTACTCCTTGAACATTTTCTTCTCGTAGTGGTAAAAAGACACAGCCGTGTCTTTTGGATTCCTCATCACTACTATCACTTTTATCTGGAAACAAAGGAAAGAAGACTCCAAGTAAAGACATTTTCCAAAATATTTTTTAAATCTTATAATATGTATTTTGCATAATTGTCATACAAATGTATCGGTGAAAGAAGCAAAACAGTGTAAGACCTATTAAATCGACGGACAAACGCCAGATGCATGGTTCAAAATTTCAAAGCCCAAGTGCGCATGCGCGGCAAGATGCATTGTGGGTAAGAAGATCAGATTTGAATTTTCTGAGGCAGGCAAAACACTTCTGGATATGTCAGAGACCTTCACATTTCATTATCAGTCATTTACCCAAGGCCTTAATGCCCATTAGTAAAATGTAGTAGACTAAACGTCAGTTTTCTTTCCAATGACGTGCACAAACCTCGGTTGCAGCGTTCAAAAATAAGACTGACTATGGCTATCGACTATAGAGTGTAACGTCTCTCAATTGTCTCAATATGTTATATTATACCGTACCTTAGAAACTTACACAATTCTATCTTCATTTTTGTATAATCTTCCCCTTTTAGTAAATCTTGATGAGTGTACTTGGGTAGAAGCAAGGGGTTTCCTTGGGAGAAGAGTGCATTTCAAGGTTAGACAAAGGTAGTGACAAAACAATACCTTTCCTGTTGGATTGGCGACCATTTTGGGGGCCAGCTGCCGTTGTAGGTGTGTGTGGATTATACGTGGAGATGGCGCGTCCTTTATAAGTTCGTGACGTGGTTTTTCGTCAAGCCCTGGCATCTGCAGTTCGAAACACCACATGGAGTGTTCTTCAGGAGTAGCCATCTTTCCTGCAGCTTTCATGACCTTGCTCACTATTTCCATCATCCAGTTCGTACCTGATAAAACAACATGCACATCCAGGGGCACATTAATGCCCTGTCAAATACCAAACTACAACATGTAGTAGCAAAATGCATCAACTAACATTGAAAGGACTTCTAACATGGGTTCTATAACTACTCTTTACTAACTTCGATGCAAACCTATTTGTTTGTTTTGTCGGAAATTGGTAAGAGCTTTTTTTTAATGTTTTATGATTATCCCACGACATTTGGTTTCTCTTGCTTCCAGAAGGTTGCAAAGATAGATTCTTTATTGACACAACAAAAAAGTACAGAGACTTTTGTATGGTATTTTACAACTTAACTAAAGATCTAACAAGGAGAAGTCGTAGACATCATCCCTCCATGAAATAGCTTTTTATTTTGTAATCTTTTGGTGTATTTCAATAGAGATATTATGAGTCAAACTTTGTTTTTATCAGCAGAATGATTTGTGGTGGCACTTTGTATTTATCAAGCTGTCATGTGCAGGCGTTTAGTGTCTTGTTACCATGGCCAGCAGGTCATTTGCCTGTACATGTAGGTCAATGACCAGACAGGCAAATGACCTGCAGACCAGACAAACAAGATTTATTACCTCAGTCCTGACATCAACAGCCTCACTACAGAGCACACTCTAGCCATGAGAAAGGAATTTCAATGATACACAAAATTTCACCTTCAAATTACCCACCATCTGCAGACACAAATTTGAACAACTGACTAAACATGTACATCACAGACGCTACTTTGGATCAATAAACTATCATTGACAGCACACCATTCAATGACCCAAACACAACCAGACTATATTTCCTGCAGACTCTGTCTAGGGGTAAAAATAGATAGGGCTGCCTGGGTCTGACCTGCCAGCTGGAGGTATAAACAAAAACACTCTGTCCCAAGTTTGGGGTCAAACAGACCATCCTATTATGAAATAGGGGTGAAAATGTGAAAATCCTTTTAAATTAAGCAATAAAATATGCGACAACCTGCTAATGCACTCCAAAACACAAAGAGACTCAACAACTACCCACATACCTAATATCATACCAAACCATCCCCCAGATTTTCCAAACATTCAACACAAAAAGTCCAACATTAAACATTTTGTAAATATCAAACGCAAACAGCTAGGGGACCCAAATTTAAACCACTAAACCATGGTAATAACAACAACACGCTACCTTAATATCGCACAAACAGTCCATAACGCGAAAACAATAGAATAAAAAAATTAAACTGCAGTACCAAGGTCAATCACCAGGGGCTCAAAGTCAACCTAAACAATCTCCAAGGCCCCATCCATCAATCTGCCAAATATCGTACAGTTCCTTCTCACCGATCTTCAGATATCAGACCAAACATGAAACGGAGTAAAAACAATACCCTCATTTACATGGAGGGTAACAAAGCTAAATACATGTGTGAATAACGCTATCTTAAGTACAGAGTATATGTATGATGTAACAATAAAGGTTAACTATTCTCTAACATGTGTTCTCTAAGATCGAAACATTCTTTAATGTATTTTCCTATTTGAACACTGTATTGGTTATCTCCCCTGAGAATTTAGTTGCATTTCTCTATAGCATCTAACGTATTGAAATCAATTGTATATATATATATTTAGCCGCTGACAACGCAGATTGGGTTGACCCTGATCAAAGGTGTGACCGCTTCCAAATGCGACAAATTACAAAGTTCTAGAGAAAGATACACAAAGAAAGATACAGCTCACCTGTTTTTGGGTAGGTCACGATGAAAATATCGTCATCTCGGACAGGGTAGTCAGGAATAGCATCCAAAGTTTCCTTAGAAATTTCACCAGGAAACATAATGCCTTGGTACTCGTGTTCCGGCATGTTTACAGCGCTTTGGTGTCCCTTATATAACCTGAAAATTGACGTGAATTGGCAAAAAGGAAGAAAAACAGTTGCTTGACCAGTACAACTGCGAAATAATATGATTCATTTGCTTTAGGATAGGTATGCAGAGTTAGAAAAGTGTGCGTAATGGTACCCCCAAGCAGACTACGTTTCAAATGGTAGCAATATTTGAAAGGGCACAGACAGGTCAACACGACAACTAGGCCAACCTGTTTACAACATTGCCAAATAAGAAATATTAATTCTTTCCACGTATTTGCTCATCTACGGTTTAAATCACAGTATAAACAACATATTGACAAACTACCCTTGTAGCAAATGATACATACTTCTTGTTAAGGAGACAGATGATTCTTCCTGGGATCCCCTGCTTCGCTGACCCGTATATAAACAAACGGGCTGGATAAACATCATTGATTGCTCACATGTAGAACGTTCACCCCTGACCGACAAGGCACTTAAGGTGAGCTTTTACATAAGTTACGCGAGGTGCGGAAACGTTCGTTCGGACGTGTATGATAACGGGCGCCGGGCACAACTCCCTCTGTGACACGTACTAAGTACATAGCCAATGTCAAAACCCTTCAATCCGTATATAACTTTGCCCAGCGATGCCGTATCATGTTGAAACTTAACACAATGCTAGTAGTGTTTGAAATCTACTAGATACTTGTGGATATGTATGTGATGCTAGTATATTGGATTTTTTGGTTAAAAATGCACATTTTGGTTAAAAAATACATAGCTCACTTCATATACTCACAACACTATTGGCATCTATATTCTGCAAGATAAGGGTTCACCTCCAATACTTTTACCTTGTCCGCGGCTATTTTGGTTTTAGTGTTGGGATCTTTTAAAAATGTATTCAAAAATGTCCCTTTTGCTCTTTTTGGCCTCAAAAACGTTAAAACGTTTACCGTGTTGATATCAAATGGTTTGCTGACAATAGTATAGTCATAAAGGACATTGTCCATCGACTAATTCTTTTGTTTAAAGTTTAAAACATTCTGTGTTTTGTTTAATATAAACGAAAAGGTGTAAATCTTGTGTATGAAAACCTACGATAACATCCCATTTGTATAGTTTATAAACTGAAAAGAAGTTTGCGTAATATATTTAAAATGTACTTTCTTTGGCATCTCAAAATGGCTTATTGGATACTTTCCTGAACATCTTGACAAAAAAATAATTTCTGTATACAAATAAAGCATTAGACCCACTGGTGCAAAACCACACCATAGCATCTTCCAGTACCACTATGGCACATTTATGTCTCAGTCATGTTGTGAGGAGACCATCTGTCCAAGGAGATCGCTTTTCTTCGGTCCCCTGGGTGGTCGCCTTGGGCAGGTTTGACTGTATATGTATTACACGACACTGCTGTTCATGTGCTAGTAGATATCTTTCAGCACATTGCTGTTTCTCCCAAGTCAACGTGCCAAAAAGTGGAAATAAGAGCTGGTAGCCAGACCATGTATTATTTTATTGTACATCTCAACCCTCCTCCACCAAAGGCTATTGACATGTTCTTCAGATGTAATATTATGCATGTTTGTTTGTCTTTACAACTGAACTGAATGTGTGATACTCCCCAAATAATAACCTTGGACTAAGACAAGGCCTACCCAGCACTAGACTTGATTTCGTGTGTTCCTGTGTTATTGCATATACTAGTATATCAATGAATTTACTTGCTTGACAATCAGGATTCACTCCCCAGATGAGATAGGGATCTCTACCGGTGTTGAGCCAAATCCTTGATCTGTCACATACGTGAGAGGTAAGGTGTTAGGGCTATGGTTAAAGTTAGGGGCTGGTGTTCGGGTTCGGGTTAGGGTTCGGAATCATCGTTCAGGGCTAGGGGTACGACTTACGATTGGGGTTATGTTAGGTTTAGTCTCCCACATCACCACTTAACCCCTCCAATCCCCTTGTCTTGGGTATATTAGAAACCCCCAAGTAGTGTCGGAGTCATGTATTTGGCAGGGTGATGCATATGGCTTGACACAGGCAGAATCAGTGACTCAGCCGGGCCGCGACCTCTATCCTAACATTTGCTACACGCACATATGCACGGTACTACTCAAAATCAAACTCCAGACCAGTCCCATCCAGCCTGAGCTTGTGCTTGGCATCATAGGCTTCATTTTGCTCCGGCGTGAACATGCTCTTCCAATCGCCAATGATACCTGCAAGGAAAGAAACCAATGCAACATCCCATTATTACTGATAGTGTTCTTGTGGTTTGTTGTTTGTGTGCGTTTGTTTGTTAACACAAGGCTTAAATAATTTGTCTTCTGTGGGTAGGTCTTGATGGGACCCCAAAATGACAACTGTTATTGCACGCAGTGCTACATAATCAAAACATGTGCAAGTACAAGTCTACACCATCGATATCATGTGCATGTGCAAGTACAAGTCTATTACAGCTATCGAATACGGCGATATAATGTGTAGTTTTTTAATTTATAAATATAATTAGGCAACTTACCTTTTCTGCAGATGTTTTCTTTCATAACTGATCCTGAATTGCTCCAGGCTGCCTTTAGAGTGTTAAAAGTGCATGACTCGGCAATGTTGGTGACGGCAGCGTCGTCTAGGCTGGTCTCCAGGAAAGAAGCGACCTCGCTGACCACACTGCGCAGGTCCTGTGATAACAACAAACGCAATCACTCAATTGTTAGTCATTTTAATTTAAAAGCTGTATTTTTTAAAAAGTATGTTTAGTACAACACCACATTGGCCACTTGGCATAAACTTAATGCCAAGGACCCGTCACAATCCTCGGAGCACAACCGCAAGGTAGGGGCAAAACCCACTGGCGCTTGTACCCACGTACCAATCAAGACCGCCTAGCTCTGGTACAAGCAGGAGCTATCACACTCCGTGGGCAAGAAGCCTCATTGCTTCGAAAAACGCGTTCGTTGTAAGGCCGGGGGCAACAACAACAAGAGTCATTGTAAGCAACGTGCCGCTGTCGTACGACAATGAAGAAATAAGCAAGACTCTAACCACAAGGGGCTACAAGTTGATGAGCAGGGTGATATATGAAAGAGCTAGGAACAAAGAAGGCAAACTTACACGGTTTCTGACTGGCAGAAGATTTGTGTATATTGAAAAACCCAGCACACCGCTCCCTCCCAAGATATCTGTAGGAGCCTTTGTAGCTGAGTTTTACCACAGAGAACAGAAAGAGGCCGGTCGGTCCAGAGCACAAAAATGCAGCAATTGCCTTCAGGAAGGGCACCACAGAAGCATGTGTGAAAATGAGATCATCTGGCACCAGTGTAAGAAACCTGGGCACAGGAGAGGTGATCCAGCATGCGAGCTGGAGAATGGAGAAGTCACCATCACCAGTGTAGCCGAGACCAACACCGGCTACACAAGCAACAGTCCTGCAGCACCTGAGGTGGAGCGTAGACAGGAGAGTGACACAGGAGACGAGGCCTCTGAAGCGGACGAGACGGATGGAGAGCCTATCCTGGACAACCCGGAGGGAAGAACAGAAACCAGACAACCCAGAGGACGTGGATACTCAACAAGAAGCAGGACTCATACTAGTAGCAACGTAAACAACCAGAAACACGCAAGGGACAATAACTGTGACAATAACACCCCTGATACACATGTAGATGACCAGCGAGACTCAACACAGCCATCAATTGAACTGTGGCTAAAAGAACAGAGAAAGGCAAAAGGGAAACAAGGTGCGAGAGGAAGTAAGTTGAAGAAAAAAGCTACATAAATTCTGTAAACAACATATCATGTTGTCAGAGGTTTCCACTTCAAAATTACACAAATGCATAAACCACAATGAATACATGTAATAAAATAAAACTGATTTCCTTTAACTGTAGAGGAATCAGATCATACAGTAAAAGACTTAAGATTATATCTTGGCTAAAAAAGAAAAAGGCTGACATATGCCTATTACAGGAAACTTACCTGACAAATGATATGAAACATACTATTGATAAGCAATGGACAGGTAAAACCATACACTCATTTGGTACAAACCATAGTAGAGGTGTAAGTATTCTCTTTGACAGTAAACTACCTGTGGAAATCCTGGAGCAAAAAACAGACACTGAAGGAAGAAAAATTGCTGTCAACATCAAATTATATAAGGAAAAATACACTCTACTATGTCTATATGCACCAAATGGGCAAAAGGATAGAAATGTTTTCTTCCATGATATTCAAGAATGGTTACAAGATTGGAATTGTTACTCAATGCTAGTTGGAGGTGATTCTAACTCCATTTTTGATAAAAATCTGGACAAAAATGGGGGATCCTCTTTAACCCATGAAAAAAACCAATCTTTAAAAGACCTTTGCTCTCCTTTCGATCTTATAGACATTTTTCGTCATTTGCACCCATTAAATAAAAGTTTCACGTGGAGACAAAAAACACATCGAATAGCATGTAGACTTGACTACTGGCTTATTTCGAACACTCTGACAGCTGACATTTTTTAGGCTGACCACTATGCCAGCATATGTAGTGACCACAGCGCTGTATACATAAATATGCACAGCAGAGAAACACCAAGGGGAAATGGTTTCTGGAAACTGAATGTAAACCTGTTAACTGATTCAGAATATAAGAAAGAAGTAGAAAAGGTCATTAATGATACAAAAAAGGAATTGAAACATTGCACACCAGACACAATATGGGAAATATGTAAAATGAAGATTAAGGAGCTATCTATAAGCTGGTCCAAACATAAAAACAAAGAGAGAAACAAACTAGAAAAAGACCTAGAAAATAGACTAGAAAGACTAGAGAAAGAGATAGATACTGACTTAAACCCCCAAACTCTATCTGAATATGAGTATGTTAAAACACAGTTAGAAAGTATTATTCAGGAAAAGGTAAAAGGACAGCAAATAAGAGCAAAGACGAGATACATTATAGAAGGCGAAAAGCCAACTAAGTACTTCTTAAATTTAGAAAACAAAAAACAAAGTCAAAATTGTATAACCTCGTTAGAAAATGGGAAAATACATGACCAAGTGGAAATACTAAAGGAATGTAGAAGTTTTTATCAGACATTATACTCCTCCAAAAATGTACCTGATGATGAAATCAAGAAATACCTCAGTTCAATCAACATCCAGAAAACTTTATCTGACGAAGAAAAGGAAAGTTGTGACAAACCAATTACATAAAAGGAATGCGAGGAAGCTGTATTGGGTATGAAACCAGGTAAAACACCTGGATCTGATGGGCTACGACCTGAATTTTATAAACTCTTTTGGCCATCAATAGGAAGTTTAGTGCACTCTGTTATCTGTTGGTCACTCAATGAAGGCAAGATGCCACTTTCTTTCAGAAAAGCCATGCTAAGACTAATATTCAAAAATGGGGATGAAGAAGAACTAAGAAATTGGAGGCCTATACGCCTATTGAATACTGACTATAAAATCCTAGCTTTTGTCTTAGCTAATAGGATTAAACCTCTTCTGGGAAACCTAATTAATAAGGACCAGTGTGCCTACATTAAAGGACGTTTTATAGGACAAAATATCAGACTAATCCAGGATGTCATAGACTTCTGTGATACTGAAAAATGCAGGGAATGGTCTTATTTTTGGATTTTGAAAAGGCATTTGATTGTATAGAACACAATTTCATATTTAAAGTACTAGAAAAATTTAACTTTGGTCATAATTTCATAAAGTGGGTTGAAACCATATACACTGACTGCATAGCGTCAGTCATTAACAACGGCTGGAAGACAGCTAGCTTCCAAATCCAACGAGGAATAAGACATGGCTGTCCATTAAGCGCCTTGCTCTTCTTGTTTGTAGCTGAAATGCTATTCCACAGCATACAAAGCAATAAAAATATTAAAGGTATAAAGATTGATGAAGAAGAGATCAAACTCTGCCAAGTAGCAGATGACACTACATTATTCTTGTCAACTGAGGAATCATATGAAGCACTTAGATATATTAGATCTTTTTCATGTGTTGCTGGACCCAATTTAAATAGTGCCAAGACAAAAGGGTTATGGATAGGTACATGGAAGACCAAAAAGAAAGAAATAGGGGGAATTACATGGCCTTCAATACCAATAAAAACTCTGGGAGTGTACTTTGGTCATTGTAGTAAGAGTCTAATGAAATTAAACTGGGAAGACAAAGTGAGACAGATAAAAACAATACTTAACACCTGGAGAGAAAGAAATCTTACTCTTTTTGGAAAAATCACTATTGTAAAATCCTTAGCAGCAGCTAAGGTAACATATATTATGAATGCTTTGCCAGCTCCCTTGCATATTTTGAAGGAGCTCAATACTGCCTTCTTTAATTTTGTATGGGGGGGAAAGGGAGATAGAATAAAAAGAAAACAATAATTGGAAATTACAACCAAGGTGGACTTAGAATGTTGGATATATACAGTGTTAAGGACGCCCTACTTGCCTCATGGGCCAAACGTTTATGTAATGGTAGTGGCTCCTGGAGATGTATACCTTCTCACTACCTGTCAGCAGTGATGGGAAGTGTAAACCTAGCCTTTCAAATGAACTGGACTGAAGAAAAATATTTGGACAAGTTACCTACTTTTTACAAACAGATCATTGCTGCTTGGCAAAAAGCAAATGTTGTTTGTTTAAAACCACATACAGCACATGACATTCAAAACCAAGTTATCTGGGGGAACAGACATGTGATGTCAAAAGGTAAACCCCTGTTTTACTCACACTGGATTAAGTCTGGTTTTATTTATATAAGGGACATATTGCATGATGGTAAACTTATATCAGATGAGACCTGTTTTCAGAAGTTGATAATGAAGAAAAACTGGGCTTGTGAGCTCCTGGCTCTAAAACAAGCTATACCTAGACAGTGGAAATGTGGGACTTTTAATGTATTAAAGAAGAAAGGCGAAACATTGCCCACTTTGTATGTCGTTTCTGCAAAAAAAGGTAAAAACTGTAGACACTATTAAAACCTCTGATTTGTATCAAAACTTTGTTCAACAAAGATTCATATCACCATACGTAGAAAAAAAATGGGAAAGATTTTTCGAGTGCGAATTGAGGTGGAGAGACGTGTGGCAAAACCAAACAAATCCTGCATTGGGAGCACGTGTGTCACAAATTAATTATAAAATATTGCATGAAATACTACCTTGTGGAAAATTTTTATATGTTTGGAAAAATATGTCGAGCACATGTAATGTATGTAATTGTGTTGAAGACTACGAGCATTTGTTTTTAAAGTGTAAAAGATTGACAAATTTCTTGGGAAACTTGATATTTAAGTGTTTTAAATGTACTGTAATAGTAAATCTGAGAGAAATTGTACTGGGATACAAAACAAATTATTTGAACTCATCTGGAATATACGAAATAATCAACTTATTAATAGGTATTGCAAAGAATGTCATATTTAAGAACTGGTGTAATAACAGAAACAATGACAAATACACATCAATAGATCTATACTGTATTTTCAAATCAGAAATCATTGTATACTTCAAAGCAGTAAACAACAGAATGTACAAACATGTTCTTTGTAACTTGTAAACTTTGTATTTATGTATACATGTATGTGATGTAATGTTGCTTTTTATGAATAAAATTTTGAAAAAAAAAACTTAATGCTCACGGAAGAAGCAATTCTCTTCCTCCTAATGCTGAGGTCACAATTCCCACACGGGGCCCGGCCGGGCAGCTTTGGGGAACGAAAAGTACGATATAAAAGACAACAAAGCACAGAAAGGTTTTTGATGATAATCATGGGCACAATTTCTGTATATTCATGATATGGATTGTTAAAACAGCCCGGCCGGACCCAGGTTTGGAAATGTGACCTTGGCATAAGTAAGAAAAATCAAGCTAAGGCAAGTTTGAATAACTGACCCAGTACCCGAAGCAGGGGTTACGAAGGATACATAACCATGGTGAAATAAAAAATGAACATGTAAGTGATGAAGAAATTTTACCTTCTTCATATCTTCATACTTCAGGAAGAGAAAATGGCGGTCATCCTTCATCTGCCACCAGCCGAGGGCGTGGTCGTAGACGTCACCAAAAATGCCTTCAAGTCGGAAAAAAAGTATTACTTTGTTTTGTTTTGGAATATTAGATAGTTATGACTACCATTTAGCTGATTCGTTACCATTCATTAATATATGATATCATATACGTAAAGTATTTTGACGAATGTCTTTATCTTTGCCAAGATGGATCTGTTTTCATGTCGGCATGTGGGTTCATGGGATTGTTTAGATTTGTAGAGGGGATAATTCGAGAGAATTGGTATTGGTGCGCCAGCCACTTTCATTTTATGTTAATGCTATACTTTATGTCATCTTTATGTTTACATTTGTATTATGTTTTATGAGCAGCGGATTTACATAAGCACAACAAGTGCTTCCTATCCAATGCTCAAAAATCCATGTGAATAAAATAAAATAAAAATTCGAGAGAATGGCACGTTTCGTGTAAGACATCACCAAATTACCGGTGCGCACAGCCAGGCAAGCGGAGCCATGCAAGCTCACATCCCGATGGTAATTGTCACCCCCCCCCCCCAACCCGAGCATTAATGCACCAGCCTCCATAAAGTAATTTGGTCACCAATCGTCAATATTTTAACTTGACACTTGGTCACGAGAATGTTGTTGTATCGATTGAAACCATATTGTTTGTTGCGTTGACGTACCTTTTCCTTTAGAAAGTCGTCTGCATAGGCTTCCCAAGATTCGTAACGTTTAGGGACAACATCGCCGGGGCGGCTGTACTCCTTGAACATTTTCTTCTCGTAGTGGTAAAAAGACACAGCCGTGTCTTTTGGATTCCTCATCACTACAATCACTTTTATCTGGAAACAAAGGAAAGAAGACTCTGTGTGAAGACATTTTATGAAATCTATGTATTTTGCATAATTTACAGACAAATGTATTGGTAAGAGAAGCAAAGTAGTAAGACCAAAATTGAACATTGTGATAGAAAGCCGGATGGAGCTGCTTTAGTAAACGCCAATGTATCGTACACGCTTAAATTCCCAACTGCGCATGAGCGGCAAGATGCATTGTGGGTAATATGTCAGACTTAAAGCTCCTGAGACATGAATAAATCATGTCTTCTCGACATGTATTAAGAGTGAATTGCCAGGTCAGGGAACTTTAGCTTCTTAGAAATTGACCACATTTGACTTCAGTATATAACCTAATAGATACCCCTGCTCCTTCCCCTTTCATCTGTTGAATCTTGATGAGTGGACTTCGGTATAAGAGTGTATTTCAAGGTCGTGAGAAAATAATACCTTTCCTGTCATGAAAATTCATCTGTGTTGGTAGTTACATGTTTAAAGTTAAAACTTTTGGTCCAACACAAAAAATTCTCTCACCTAGAGCTTTCGACCAGTCACTCTGGTCTTCCTCAGTAGACTGACCCAGTGAAGATTGTCACGTGGCTTCTTTGAAGAGTGAAGAAGGCCATTTACATCAGGGCCCATTACCCTACATTGAACCGCGACGGGGGCTGACATCGTCTACCAGATACCTTTGACCCAGTGTTGACGTCACACTTCAAAGAAGTCACGTGACAAGCTTCACTGGGTCAGTCTACTGAGGAAAACCAGAGTGACTGGTCGAAAGCTCTAGGTGAGAGAATTTTTTGTGTTGGACCAAAAGTTTTAACTTTAAACAAATACCTTTCCTGTAGGATTGGCGACCATTTTTGGGGCCAGCTGCCGTGGTAGGTGTGTGTGGATGATACGTGGAGATGGCGCGTCCTTTATAAGTTCGTGACGTGGTTTTTCGTCAAGCCCCGGCATGTGCAGTTCGAAACACCACATGGAGTGTTCTTCAGGTGTAGCCATCTTTCCGGCAGCTTTCATGACCTTGCTCACTATTTCCATCATCCAGTTTGTACCTGATAAAACAACATGCACATCCAGGGGCACATTAATACCCTTTCAAATACCAAACTACAACATGTAGTAGCAAAATGCATCAACTAACATTGAAAGGACTTCTAACATGGGTTCTAAAACTACTCTATACTAACTTTGATGGAAACCTATTTGTTTCTTTTATTCGAAATTGGTAAGAGCTTTTGTTAATGCCTTATGATTATCCCACGACATTTGATTTTTCTTGCTTCGAGAGGGTTGCAAAGTATTGTTGAACACTCCTCGTGATTATGTAGCTGCTGACAACGCAGATTGGGTTGACCCTGATCAAAGGTGTGACCCCTTCCAAATGCGACAAATTACAAAGTTCTAGAGAAAGATACACAAAGAAAGATACAGATCACCTGTTTTTGGGTAGGTCACGATGAAAATGTCGTCGTCTCGGACATGGTAGTCAGGTATTGCATCCAAAGTTTCCTTAGAAATTTCACCAGGAAACCTAATGCCTTGGTACTCGTTTTCCGGCATGTTTACAGCGATTTAGTGACTCTTAGATAACCTGAAAATTGACGTGAATTGGCAAAAAGGAAGAAAAATAGTTGCTTGACCAATACAACTGCGAAATAATCTGATTCATTTGCTTTAGGATAGGTATGCAAAGTTACAAAAGTGTGCGTAATGGTACCCCCAAGCAGATTACATTTTAGATGGTAGCAACATTTGAAAGGGCACAGACAGGTCAACACGACAACTAGGCCAACCTGTTTACAACAGCGCCAAATAACAAAATAACAAATCTTTCCACGTATTTGTTCATCTACGGTTTAAATCACAGTATAAACAAAATATTGACAAACTACTCTTGTAATAAACGATACATACTTTTCGTAAAGCAGCCTGATGAGTCCTAACTGGGAACCCCTGCTTCGCTGACCAGTATATAGACAAACGGGTTAGATAAGCATCATTGATTGCTCAGGTGTAGAACGTTCACCTCTGACCGACAGGGCACTTGAGGTGAGCTTTAATGAGGCACGCGAGGTGCGCAAACGTTCAGACAGTGGAGACACTGGACTGCGTGGCTCCTCGACCTCTGCACTTGATACATTCCCTCTCTCGCTGTGCCTCGGCTAAAATTTATACACGATGATCTGGTAGGGGTCAAAATCCTTTCTGTCCGAATCTCCTTCTTCGTATTCAGCTAGGTGTAAACCACCGATATAGCAACAACCGAAATAGACAGAAAGACAGATAAAGTATCGAGATCGAATTGCATCGAACGCGCGAAAAGTTAATTGAAATATATTCCCACCTTTAATACTTTTTTTACATATTACGGAAAGTTTGCTTATTAAATGTCTGTATATATTTACGTCGTATTAAGCACACTGAAAGGTGACGGAAAGGCGGAATTTGCCTTTTTGTGTCCTTTACGAAGTCGTAAAGTCAACTGAAATATTTCCCCACCTTTAATACACGATGATCTCGAGGTCAAAATCCTCCCTGTCTCAATCTTCTTACTCGTATTTACATGTAGCTATGTGTGAACGTCTAAAACCACCGATATAATTATAACAAAAACCAAAATAGAAAAGTAAACAGAGAAAGTACCGAGATCGAATTGCATCGATCTCGCGAACGTTGACCTACTTCTTTTACGTCATTGCGGTGGCCAATTTGTGAACGCTAGGCGCTAGCCAAAATTTTGAACAGCCGGCGCGCCTCTAAACTACGGTGGACTAACGAACTAAGTGTAGGGACTGCAAGTACAGGAAAACAATGTAACATCCCATTATTACCTTCACCAAAGTTTCATTTTTGATCGTAGTTTGTTGTTTGTGTACGTTTGTTTGTAAACACGATTATTCTAAAAAGCTGGTTTGTTTAACAATAAAAATGTGGGTAGGTCTTGATGAGACTAGTTATTGCATACAGTGCTACATAAATGCGTGCAAGTACAAGTCTACACTATCTACACCATGTACAAGTCTACACCATCTTACAGCTATCGAATACGGCGATAAATAATGTGTGTGTGTGTGTGTGTTTTAAATAAATTTACAATCAGTTAACTCACCATTTCTGCAGAATTGAAACGACCCTAATAAAATGTAAATTTGGACCCGGAAAATTCATTTTGACCGGAGTTGATGAAAAAAAAAATTACATGGATAACAACTTATATGCTGAAATGCACTTGCTAACCTAGTTTACGAGTAGCACACCTTAGAATGCTAAAATCCGCAGGGTTTTCGGTATGAAATGCAATGAAAATAGCTTCCGTTGTAAGTACAAAAAAATGTGTATTTAATTCACAGCTATAGACTATAGGGGCTTAGTCTTGAGACTTTTTGAATGAACCGACATGTTAGTGGTAATTCTATTTCAAATTAAGTTGTGATTGTTTATGCATGACAAATACGGACTCAAACACGGAGCCCGTGGCTCATTGCCAATATCACCAACTTCATATTCAGCATACAGTAAACAAAATTAGGGTACAGGACACAGTGACGACGGGCTCAAGTTACGTAACTTATGTTAGCGCCGCCACTTCATACATTACATTACCTCATTTCTCACGCCTTTGAATTAGGCTATTACCGGTGGTATTACCGGTGGTTCAACTTTTGTGTCAGCGCTTAGTTGGCAACGTCCTCATTACTGCAACACCGACAGTAGCTATGGACACCCTACTGTCAGCAGTCTGCGTTTCAATTCTCCTCTTTGCTGTACCCGTCAGTGGAGGTATGTTATCTTACTCCTCAGTCATTGTGAATATCGCACCCGGTGCAGTGCGTGTGTTTTGCACGACGGGTGTGGCTCTCTACTCTCCAAGCAGAGGTATGGGTTTTGGGGGTTATTTTTAGAGTGTTTTTAGCCTTTTTTATCAGGGTTTCTCTTTTGCACTGAATTTTTTTTCCACCAAACCCAACCTCTGCAGGCAGTCGAAAGCTTCAATGGGCTATAAACCTAATCTCTTAAACACATTTCAGTCGTTCTGCAAGGAGGTGTGAACCAGACGCATGAATAGGCATAGTCAGCAGGAGGCATGTGGCCCAATAAATGCCTTTCTGACTGGCTAGATGTGTGATAATCCACCACAGTAAAATGGATATCCCTAATGACAGTTTGATGGTTCCCGGGGAGGGGCACTATCGCCTGTTTTGAATAGCTTTTAATAGGTTTGCCCCTCCCCGGGGTGAGTGCCGGCAGAGGTTGGGTTTGGTGAAAAAAAAATTCAGTGCAAAAGAGAAACCCTGATAAAAAAGGCTAAAAACACGCTAGAAATACCCCCTAAACCCAAACCTCTGCCTAGAGAGTAGTAGCTCTCCCCAAATACGTCCTATCCGAGGGACGTCCCCGGCCGAATCTAGGTGCTCATTTCTTCAGGTGTGAAGTAAACAAAATCGTGTAAAGTGCCTTCCTTACCCAGTCCAAAGACTGCTGACAAAGCGGGAATGTATTTCACCTCGGGGCCTCTTGGTTCTGAGAAAACAGGAGCCTCTTGACTAATTTGCATCATCCTTGTCTTCACTTAACTAACTTTTGTTTCCTTTTGGACTGCCAAAAACATTGGCTTCACTCACTTGCATATCAATTAATAGTTCGTGCTTATAAACCTGCATTTCTCCTGCAGTCTCTTAGTGTCATTGACGAAAGGTAGTGGATGCTACCTGAAACGTCTGACCGTTTCCAAAATCATATCCTGTTGCTTGAGTAACTGTTAATGGCGGAAGATAAGGATGATACAATTTAGTCAAAAGCTCCTATTGTTTTAGAACAGGAGCCTAACTCCCTTGGGGCTAGGGGCGTCAAGTGCCTGAGAATTCTACCCGTAGTTCTACCTGTTGAGGGTGGGAATGTACATCTTTTTTCTCTTTCGTATAGCTGTCACTTTAAGATTGATGATAAACCATTCTTATGGAAGGAAATACTAGATCAGGGATTCTGTTTGTACACGACATTTTGGATGCAGACCGGAAAGTGCTATCCTATAGAGCATCAAGTTTGAAATTCAATGTAACGATTTCGGAGTCTGTTCATAATAGATTAATATAAGCAGTCTCCCAGTCTAGCTAACTGAAATGCCGGAAAATACGTCGGGTGGTGGCGTCGGGTGGTGTAGTGGTTAGAGCAATCGACTGTGAACCGGGAGACCCGGGTTCGATTCCGAGTCGTACCCGGGACACGTCTGAACATGCGCCCCGACGTTGTGCCCTTGGGAAAGGCACTTTACACGAATTTCCTCACTCCACCCAGGTGTGAATGGGTACCTAACTTCGGTTGGGGAAAGTCGTATTGAGGTCACCTCGAATGGCAGCCGCACAGACCCTTGCGACAGTTCCACAAAAATGATTGTGGAACAAATATGTGTATTATTTGTATTATTTGATTGTTGTAATTGTTGTGATTTGTATTGATTATTATGTGATACCCTGCACCAATTCAGCCGTATAAAGGCTGCGACTGCACGGGTACTGTTTAGACAATAAAAAAAAAATGTTTGGACAATAAAAACCATTTATACAAACTTGTAATGTAATGTAAAAGTATGCAGACATATGTTAAAAAGAAGTTTAAGTGGTTAAGTGGTCTTAAAAACAACAAAAAAGTGTACAGTTTTTTTCTAAGAAAACCACGACTTAAATGATCACCCTATGAATGTAATGACTTACTGGGAGGATGAATTGAATGACACAATGCCATGAAAGGAGATTTTCCTTATCATTTATGATTAATATAAAAGTAACAATCTACCCCCCTCCGACCGGAATCTAATCTTTCAATTCAAATTAGTACACAAAATGTTAGCAACAAAAAGACTTTTAGACATTTGGAAACTAAAAGAATCTCCACTGTGTGCTCTTTGTGCAGAAGATGATGAAACACTAAAACAACTTTTTTTGGGGGGATTGCAGAAAGATATTTAATTTTTAGTGGTGTGTCTAGAAATGGTTTAACCAAAACACAGGACTTTATCTTAATGTCGATACCCCGATACACATTCTGTTGGGGTACCATAGAGAATCGGTGCCACTTGTATGAAATTTAATGATATTACTGGGTAAAGTATACATCTTCAAAAATCATCAGTCATAATTTATTTTTCTGTATAATCAGTCCACATTCATTTCTCTGTATAATTTTGTTTCACTTGTCAACCATTTCAAAACCATAAAGGAGAATATTGCACGAAAACAAAATAATTTAATGTCACTACAGAAAATGGATTGAGCTTTCAAATACGAATAGTATGTAATATGTAATTTAGTATGTGTGTAGCGTTATTTAACTGTTGTCTTTGTTTATTTCTTTTGTTTTGTCGAGTAAAGATTTAAAAAAAAAGGCCAGGTATTGATCACTGTGGGTCGGTTTCCTGTGTACCTCAAAGCGATAGTTTTGGTGTCAAGGACGGGGAGCATGTTGTCATGACTCGGCTCCTGTGCGAGCTTGATGTTGCCATCTGCGTAGTTGATGTGGTCAAAGAAATTAATAGCTATATAAAGCTTTGAAAAATGTTACGTTTTTCTTCGTTTTAGAACTTCCGTCCTGGTCAGCATCCTCAGAGTTTGAGGCACCTGAGTCAACCTCAGCCGACCGCGCAGATATCAACACCCGCGAAACTGCAGATGCAGCAGGTGCATGGATAGCAGCAACCAATGACCAGGACCAATGGCTGATGAGGGACCTTGGTGACGTGAGCGTCATCACCGGCGTCATCACCAAAGGCAGGAACTACAGCCCTGATTGGCCATACGCCGGACCACATGACCAATACGTCACATCCTACGTCATTTCATACGGCAATGAAAATGGCGATGAGACGTTCTACACCGATGCTGACGGACAAGTTACTGTAAGAATCATTCCTCCTTTTAGTGAAATAGCTATCCACTAAGATCTTTGCATGTTCAAATCTTATTCCTAAATTGAATATAGAAACAGGCAGATATCATAATTTCGCTCCTTACCTTGTCCATTTTTGTCCAGAGCAAATTGAAGATGAATTTCACTTTGTCACGGAATGCTCTATATATGATGTTTTGCGTAATCTATTTACATTTCTTTATTCTATAACTGTTACAACAGATTTCAAGAGAGTCGATGCTACAGATAGCTTTAAATATATCTTTATATCATGGTTAGCCTCAATTGATTGTTTGACTATATCAAAGATTTATGCTAGCCCTTGTTGTTTTAATAGTAAGGATGTTAAGTATATCATGTAACATTTTCTATGGTTATTGTTTTGTTCCTTTTGTCATACATTGCCGTGCAATCAACTTCTCATAAAGTGTCGATGTGGTCGTTTCCAAATAGGGCTTGATATTCTTGGCATGTAGGCAATACCCTTACAAATCGAATCAAATCGAACCAAAGCAACTTTATTGCTTAACAACTGTAACTGGTAGAAAAAGAAGAAAAAACAACATAAATGAACTATACTAAATACAATTCTAACTCAGGTAATCCATAATGATGCCAAAGCTAATCTATTGTATGTTTTCTTGAGGGGAGAATTTTTTATTTACAGTCTATAATTTATTCAGGACATACGTCAGTTATTTACAATATGGTGTCACTTTTGTAGTGATTTGGATATTAATTTTCCAACGTACACTGATATCTAAGTAGGACATGAAAGGAGCATATATCTGGGGTACCCCATATTTTGAATGGGGCAATGTAACATCAGTTTTGGAAGCTATGGATTGCACCAACTTTTGTCTGTTTTCCTCATGATGCAGGTTTTTCAGGCGAACGACGACAGAGACACGGAGGTCTACAACGACTTCGGAGACTTCAGTGGCCGCATAACTGCGCGCTTCGTCAAAATCCATCCGCAAACATGGCATGAGCACATCTCCATGCGGGCGAAGATTGTGACAGGTTAGAACCGTAATACTGTCATAGGGGGAGGTGTAAGTGTAAAATGTTTGAAAAAAAAAGAAAAAATGCAGTTTTGGGTGAAATACGCCGCTAGGAATATTGACACTTGCATGTGAACATTTGGTCGATTATTACCCCCCCCCATTCATACCGTCTAAAGTTTGTGCCATTTCAATGCAATAAACTACCCATACAGCCATGCTAAAAGTAGTTAAATGCTCTAAAGTACCCATGTATATTTGTCTGTATATCTACATGTCTTAGACCTTACGAAAGTCGCTGTACTTTTTGTTGTGTCAATAAAGTTCTCAGTATTTTGGCATTCATTGGCAGAACATTTGAGGTCAGATGAAATCACAATGAATATCTCAACCCAAAAGTCTATCCCAATGCAAATATGGACTATTACAAAATCACCCTATTACAAAAACCACGAAAATTTCTTATGTTTAAATATGCACTTTTATAATACAAGTTGTTCTTTGAATAGCCAAGGGGAAATCGCAAATCTAAAAATACCGCGGATTGTCCTGAAACCGCGAATTTTAGGCCCCGCGAATCGAAAGAAACTTACAGTACTTATCAGAAATTATATGTGCAAATGGCATACTCCTATTCCGCGGTAGACTGGGCACCAGACCACCGTATTATGCACATGACTTGTCAACTGAAAGCATACACAAACTTACGCCACTCAATGGACCCTCTTTGGTCAATGGATACTTCCTGTACAACTTGATACTGTCTTTTGCCATGCAAAGATCTGCTTGGAGATTATTTAGGTATGCGACATCCTTCTAATCTACCCGTCAATACACCGATGCTGTAGCCACATCCCCTTTGGTCAAAACATATTCGTAATACCCTTTCACACAGAAGGAAAGTCATCGGCCGACGAAATTTGTCTACCTTCAGGTCAAGACGTAAAAAGAGGCTTGATCTTCGAATGACGAGTCGTCTTTTGAAATTTCAGATGCAACACAGCAAACTACTGAGATACCCACGACAGCTGGTCCTCTGTACACTACAGAACAAAATGAGTCAACCCTCCCAGGAACAACTGTTTCTCAGCACAGTAGCAGTCAGACAACACAACGGCCAACTCTTCCAGGAACAACTGGTTCTCAGCAAAGCACTCGCCAGACAGCACATTGGCCAACTCTTCCAGGAACAACCGTTGCTTCTCAGCAAACCACTGACCAGACCATCCAACGGTCAACTCTTCCAGGAACAACTGTTGTTTCTCAGCACACCACTAACCAGACGACAAGCCTAGCAGGTATAGATGACACAATATTTATCATTTGATCAATTCATTAGTTGTATAACTACAAGTTTGCGCCTTCTTACATACAACTACATGTTGATACATTGTACATAGATTTCTATCCAACAATTGTCATAAGTACAAACTGTATCATTCTTTTGCAGGAAGGGAGACTGCTAAATCTATCAATGCTGACTGCAAATGTGCAGAAACACACACACAAACAGACGCACAGACACACCAAAAACAATACCTCCGTTTTTCATGGAGGTAACAATTATCAGAAGTACAAACTATATCTTTGTTTTGCAGGAGGGGAGACTGCTAAGTCTATCGGTACGTGGTACAACAAGTCGCTCAACATCGCCCTGGTCTGTGTCTTCTGTGCTGCAGCGATCATGGGAATGGGGGGCGCGTTGCTGCACTACTGGGGCAACAGACGTCAAAGAAGACAGCAAGTGGCTCAAGATCCACGGGACGAAGAATTCGCACATTAGAAAAATGTGGTAAAACGTTTGAGAACGTGGACAAAGCAAGCAGAATATTTTAATTTTGGCAACTTTACTCACAAGGCAAATGTTATAGGAGGGACATTACTTTTGTGTCACTTCATTGTCAGACAGATAGCTACCTAATAGGGTCAAATAACATTTAGAAGTGTGGTGATATAATATTATAATTTGTTTGTACATGTAATTTTGGTCTATTCATACATAAGACTGATATGGAACCGTGAGTCCAGTTTGAAATGTGAGAGGGAGATGGAGTGAGATATGCTGTATTCGCTCACGACTAAACATTGGCCTTTTTAGTTCATATGGTATTGTCCAGAGCAGACCTCTGTTCTCTCAATCTGTATTTTTACAAAGTGGATGTAGTTATTACGTATGTCACTAAGTTGTGCGTTATCATCACATATATCTCAAGTTGGAACATTATTCCCGTTTATGAAATGTAAGTAATGCACGAATACAAGATAAACATCACATAAAATAGCTTCCATTCCGTAATTCTTTTTGAAAGAACCGTCTTGTTACTTATTCTATTTTCAACGGAGTTGTTATTGTACACGTTGTGTATTATCATCACTGATATATCAAGTTAGAACATTATTCCCGTTTATTAAAAGTAATGCACGAATATAAGATAAACACCACATAAAACAGCTTCCATTGCTAGTTCTTTTTTAAACGCATCCAATGCAATTTCAGGGTGACAAACTGAAAATATTCTGAATAATTAAGATATTGATACATACTATCCCACACTAGCACATCTGAATCAGTAGTTCATTCTTTAGGTATTTCAAAAAACTGCAGAAACAAGCCCCAAGATTAGTTCTTTATTTTCTAGGTGGTACCCTAAAAATCAAGCTAGGTCCTTCGAGTAACCGTTTTTCGTCAGGATTTTGGGAATTTGTGCTCTATGGATATCGATAAACATTGGGATAGTGTGGTTGCAACTTAGTATGTAGATAAGTGACTAGAATATTGACTTTGAAAAATCTGATTTCTAAGCCCTAAAACTACACTAGAAGCCTTTGATTCACAGGGGGCTCAGTCTTTAGACTTTTGAATGAACCGACTCGTTAGTTATAATTCTATTTACAGTCGTGGTTTTATTGTATACGCGTACGGGCACACAATTGATCCAGGTTGCTATGACATAGCTCTTGACATCACTGACGAAATTATATCTTACCAAATCCCCCTTGTAGTCAAAGTAGCCATTTACAGTACACAATGCCTCATTTACCACGCCATTTTAGGGACTATAACAGAGTTAAAAGATGTAAAGCTCTTGACATTTCTGTCAAAATTATATCTTTCACAAGACCCTCCTGTGGTCAAAGTAGCCACTTCGAGTACTACACAATGCCGACATTACTCCATCTTTCTGAGGACTATATTTAGAGTTTGAAAACCGTGTGACTACTACAAATCGCAAACTATAACGTTACCTCCTTTCTCATACCTTTAAATCCCAAAAGGTGGAATAATTACACTAAGTCATCGACGAGATGAGAAAAGAACTTGTGAAAGCCATCTTCTTGAAATTTGTTTAATGTTTAACCTACACATAATTTCAACCGCCGGGCCAGGAGGTCATTAGCGCCCGTAAAGGAATAAAAAACCATCAAAAACAGGGCTCTCCATTGAAATTTATTACGAGGCCGGTTTTTGGTATTAACGACAAAGACAGGAAAGAAAGACAGGAAATAAAGAATGAGAAGGTTTTAGGGTCAGGATACACCTCTCGCCTAGGTGTGTCGACCCAAAGCATAAGGTCGATATAATAATTTGATATTGGTTACTTGATTTGTAGGGTATAAAAATACATTCTATTACAAATACCTGTAATGTGGTATCTCCACGATCATATACTTAGTCTGAACCTCCCGCTTTTTCCGCCAGGGGTCCTTCTTATACAGGTTTGCTCGTCATTTTCTCAGATAGATGATGCTGAGAATCTATCAGAGAATAAACTTGTGCGCGCGGGCGTAAAAAAATTCCAGCCAAAGAATGCTGCTAAACAACAGAAATACAAAATTTGCAGTAGCTACATAGCGACGTTTACCACAAGCCGGCACGACCTGGCGTTTTGCGGCATTTATGAGTCGGCACTGTCCTGAGTTCTGGTGTTCTGTGAAGCTTCGGTAGTCTGGGTGTTGTTCTCCAGTTACCACCGGTTTCCTATTGTCGCTAGCTTCCATGGACTACGTAATACGGAGGAGGCCAGAGCCTCAGAAGAGGTTATTTTTATTTTTCTTTCATAAATTTACTTTTTTTTTCGACAATCAATGCGCACGCGGATGTCATCCATAAGATTAAATCAGTGTGGCCTAAAGAAGATCACTCCGGAAAAATTATCTCCATGAAAACAGGATTGAATGATATTAAGTCGTACAGACACATGCGTGCACAGGCTACTAGTATTATCCGCGAAAGCCTCAGATCTTTCCGATACAATATTGTTAAACTCCCAATGCTCCACAGCTGTGCTTACACTGAACGTTAAATATCCGGCCAAGGTATGAAATATTGTTGACTGCTCAAACAATGTGCTGTAAGATTTTGTGATATCTTTACCCAAAACAAATATTAGGTCCGTGTTTTGCCTCCGTAAAAAGAACAGTGATAGTCAGACCATCTGATAAGAAAATAATTGCGAAACATATTGTGTAAAAACTGATTCATTTTCTTAAGTTTTTCTATTTCTTTACTCCTCAAAGTCCTAGTTGTGCATCACTTTTACTAGGAGGTTTGCCACGGCCCGACCTCGCTTAGATTTTATCTAAACAAGGAGGTTTAATTCATGCTCTAAACAATATTGGGTTATTACATAAGTGTTATGATGTGCCGAATAGTAAACGTGCCCTTTTGTCCATCCAGCTTTAAGTTACGAACGTCATTCGAAAATACACAGTACCACTGTATATGACAAAACATAGATATTTTCATCCTTCTGCGTGCCGGCTGTCTTCCTACACCCCTTTCTCGCATATATATTACTGCTAACTGCGCATGTTCACTGAACATAAATCTTATGTCCAATAGTGTGAAGTGCCACGTTTAACATCGATCCAACCCATATGAAATATTTTAGTACATAGTGTTGGAAGACGGAGCTCGCACCAAAATATTCACCGACACAACAAACTAAAAGGTAACTTTATTCGACATCATTTCTATGTATTTCATATAGCCCTAACGTCGTATCAAATAGATAGTTATCAGAACTTAGAGGATTGTGTGTAGGATGACTGCTTGCTCAAATCCAAGTATGCCATTTTTTTCAGGAAAACACATTCGAAATGATCTTCTTTCTGCTTGTCGTTTGGGGTTTCATTTTGATTTTGATGCAAGCTGAAACTACTGGACAGTAAAATATTTATTTGCGTTGAATATCCATGGCTTATCTTGTCACATCTTATGAGAGAACGTTAATCTCTGAGCACACAAGTTGCCACTGCTATATATCTTTAAGAGATGTGCCGATGTATATGCGCTTAGAACTGTAGACGATAAAAAGACCAGAGGATTCAAAATAACCGGCTAATCCTGTAGTCTAATGGAGACAGGCAAATAACACAAAATGAGTCCGTCGAGAAAAAAAAACTTTGTCTCACAGTCAATCTTCGAGTACATTTTATGGGCCCATTACCCAGACGCCGATTAAAATGCCCTTTCACACGGGTTAAGGTGCTCGCATAGACTGTCCTGATAGCTTACGGACAGATTCGGTGCCCCAAGACGGCCCACACGCCGTCAGAAATGGTAAGCTCTTACGTCCAAAACACGCCGGGTCAGACGGCGCCTGCTGGCGTTTCGAGCCGGATGCTGGGACGGTGGCCGTCCCGACGCGCGCGCGGGCGGTTCGGGGCAGGCTCTGGGAACTTGTGTGCCAGGGCCTGTGACAGACGCCACTTTACACAGGGCGAAGGCGGTTTTCCAAGGTCCTAAATGGGCGTTGGACGGCGTCCCTGACATGGTGGAGCCTGACGTCGACATTTGCATTTCAGCCGTTTTCAACAAGGCACCAGAATGTCTGGCAGGCTGCAACATGGATACAGAAAATTTGAAAACCAAACCTTTAGAGGGAATAGCGCTAGCACTGCAACAATTTCGAAGGATTTTTCCCGCGTTCAACTATGATGCTTGTAGTCAATCGGCCGTTAATTAAGCAAATGCAGTGAGGCCATGAATATATTGTGTTACATTCTTTCAGTATTCGTAAGGAATGTCCGACTTTGATCGAATTTAGGCCCGCACTATGCAACACGATCCTATATGATGTATAACTGGTCATAATCATGTTTTCTAATATTGATACTCGGTCACCTGTATTTAAGCGATATCATGTAAGATTTTTGCGCCAAATCTGTAAATATAAATAATTGAAATTCTCTTATCTAGATTGTCATTTTCAAAAGCTTTCAACATATTAGCGTCGCTACTTTCCTTCTTCGGCGACTCAGCGCAGCGCGAGAATATATATTGAGCCAGGCCTGCTGTATTGTTAGTAGGCCCCTAGGAAGAATGTAAACAAGCAGTTGGCAGTTTTCCAACACGTTTTTGCGACGCAACGATGTTGATCTTTTACTCCCCAAATGCCATTATGAACCCGGGAAGGCTTATAGCCCAAAAGAAAAATGTTAAGAATAGACAGTAAGTGAAAATCTTACATAATATAGCCGTAAACAACTTAGTATAGTTTGCAACAGAATGGAACACATTGTATGGCTGGTGACAACATGCGCAAGCAATCATCAAGAATCGGAATTGTGGATCTGAATAAAACTGGAAGCGCAAGAAGATCACTGAGCATCTTGAGACACGTCTGCCCCTTCGTGTCGGCACTTCGAACCCTATACAACACCATCTTTCTACATCAGATATGCGAGCACTCTCTGGGACACAGGACCGGAACAGGACTTACAAAAGCTGCAACGAATGCAAAATAAGGCCGGAAAGCTGCTACTTGGAGTCCCGCACAG